GCAAAGGCACTGAAACCACTGTTTCATTAATAATTCCAACATAATTGTACGATCGCGTTTCAATAAGTAACGGCAATGACTCGCGATATCTCGCAGCGCGCAGAATTGCTGGCAATCCGGTCTCGAAAACCCGGCAGTGTTCGCGGGGGTGGATTTTCATGGTGAAACAGGCGTGGACAATGGGGCCGCGGAAACGCCGTCGCAGAGATTACGTTGTGTCAACCGCGCGCAACAACGGGGTTCCTGCGAGGGAGTATAAGTACGCGGCCGACGGTATTAATTATCCCGGGCCTCCTTATAACGTAATTTATGGTAGCGCGAAACGGTACGGCCGACGAGGGGGAGTATTATCAATCCGGCAAGATTAATCACTCAAGTTTATATACCGGGCCTCTTATGTATAATACACTTCACGGTACAGTAAGTAGTACACTTGGCTTTGCCTCACAGGCTTTTCGTGCCCCCGCTGACTTCGGCTCTAGCTTAGTCTTTGATTTATGAGCGTGTAAGGTCATGGTATGATACCCTGACGGACAAACTGTTTTCACTAAGTTTTGGAAAAGAAACTTGGAACAATACGTTGGCGTATAGATTAATATACAGAATATTCTACGGCTATATCTTCAACAATTCCGATCCGAAAGCTCTGCTTCTACTTCCTCACGATCAACCATAAGTGTACTCTTGTTCTTCGGTCTTTCAATGATTTTCACGTTTACGATTAATTCTTTTCGTAGCCTGGACGTGCGCTTGCGTTTACTGTTTATTTTATTTTCATCAACTACCCTTAGTACTACTAGGCTACTAGTTCAGAATAATTTCATTTTAGTCTCAATCAATCACTGCATAATGACTGAGGTGATCATCGACTTACTGTTCTGTAACTAATCCTGGCTTTTATGCCAGTTTATAAATTGAATATGAATAAAATAAAATTAATATATCTATAGTGTTTGGAGAGATCAGGCGATGTTATCTCGTTTCGACAATTGTAACACCAAGGCATTTATGAGCATTGATTTCGTTGTACTATCAAGATTTGTATCCCGTAGGTGAAGTATTTCTGTCCCGGATGAAAAATCAGTTTCCCCAGACGGGGAGGGGTGGAAAGATCGAATTGAAAAGTGCAATGGACGCGCACTCTGCCGAGTGCACGGTGAACCCGTGTCCGTGGTTCTTTCTTCGTTGCACTGCGATGCCAGCGTTAGAAAGGTCTCACTCGCGAAACCTGTCGAAGTGCGGGTATTCAACACGGTGACAACCGTTCCTCCACACATTGTCTGAAGCGTACAGTCTGCCACCCCTTCCCGCGGGAGATACCGGGAGAACTAGGGGGTGACCGGGTGGAAAGGGAAAATCCTCCCCACCCGAATGGTCCCACGCGAGCTCCCCACTTTTCTCCTTACTTGCCACAGTGTACTAACGAGGAGGTTCTACGAGCATCCTTCGTCGAGTCGTGCTGCCACCTGTGCAGCAGCAGTTTTCGTCGACCTTGCCCGTGACTGGCCGTCCAACCACTTCGTTCTTATACTACTTACAGTTTCTTGACCGTCGATCTTGCGCACACGAAAGCCGCCTCCGTCTGGTCTCGTCTTTCTTCGATTTTGTGCGAGGAAACCCCTGCGATTGGGTCGATAGTACCGTCTTCGATACATGACCAGCTCGGTACAATAAGTTTAACAGTAGTATAAATCTGACTGTCGCGATAATCGATTTAATTTTATTCCCCTTCATTCGAGGTAAAAGATTCCCAGAAAATATACAATCGTAATTTCACTCGAATAAAAATATTCGTCTTTTCAGAATTGAATCTAAATAATTACTCACTTTCACGCTTTATGAGTACGCGTGAGCGGAGTTAGTGCTATCAAAGGAAAGGGTGAAATGTGTGGCGCGCGTTAGATCAGATATTAAATAGGCTTTGAGGGTAGTTTAGAGAAACTGTCTCTAGATATGCTACATAAACATTCGGATCGTATCGCGGAATTGTAGATCGCTGTGTGTATCACGAATATAATTATGGGCTTAGCGGACGAAGAGCCGAAGATTTAACCGCGCGGCGGATGAACTTTTCCCTCGGCATTACGTGCGCCGTTCGTATCACGCACGATCTGTAATTATAGGCTATAAACGTGACAATTTTTACGCGGTTTCATACTGACTGTTGGATGTAGACACGGTAGCCATTAGGTATACACGTAGGTACACCCGACTAGTCCCGTCTAAGCAGTTTTATTGCGGCGTGTAACGCTTATTGTATACGATTCTTAACTCGCATTCTAGGGAAATCAGGTGATAAAGAACACGATAAAAGAAGATAAATGTTATAACGGTGCAGCATGCTTTACACAATTCTAACTGGTATCTCTTTGTTTCCATTCTTAGTTAATAATTAATTAACGTAATATGTACTCTGAATAATTTATAAGTCCTGTCACGCAACCTTTCTAAGTCTTTTGCTCTGTTTACATTATTCCATTCTACATCTTTAATTCTCAGAAAATCAAGACAAACTTTGTTTTAATACATGGTGTAAGGTACATTTCAGTTCCTGGTCCGTATTTCATCCAGAACAATTTCTCTTTGGTACGAATCCGAAGTATAGTAATTAACGATTTGTACTTCACTTTGTAACACTTATTTCATTGAACCGAATCATCTGACGTCCGGGGATGTCATGCGATTTTCCGATGAATTATACGATGACCTTAGATTAATTGTATAACTGGTATTGTTCTCTACATTTGTACTGCAATGCATTAAATTTTTTTACGGATTCGGTAATTCTTGTTGAACGACAAACACAATAATCCTTGCAATAACTAAGCTATACATACATTGTACGTAACGCATTATGTAAACCTAAGCCTTTCCTTACATTTAGATTCAAATTCATAGTAATGTGTGAATCATTAGTTGAACCGTAACAATGCGTAGAGCCGATGCATTTAACATGAATCGCGTGTAGGTACTCTCCGCGGCAGACTATAGGCTATAGAGCAGGACGCATTAACATGTTAATGCCTTGTCTCGCGCTACAGTTAACTGTCTCATCTCAGTACGGTTAAACGTGTTGGTTGATCCACGGTATTAGTAATTCAAAGCATGGAGACACCTATAGCAAGAGAGAGAGAGAGGAAGAGGGGGAGGAGGAGATAGAGAACACATAGTGATAATAAAACACCCTCTTGAAATACCACCGATTCGCAAATCAACTCAGATACAAATTGCTCTATTACGATTGATAGATACCGTTTTGAATTCAATATTGTTTACGCAAAGCGACTGACACGCACCAGACCAGAGGAAGAAAAATTTGTCAGTATAATTCATGGAATTCTTAATAAAACGATCACTCGTTGAATGATTCAACACTCGTTAGCCAGTCGCGACGCGGTGGTGACACACGTATTTCAAAATGTTGTCCCCTTTATTCCGGAGAAAATTCCGTGACACGGTTTATTCACTAACTACAATCTGGTAGGCTCGATTCATCGGTGGAACTGATATTATCGAAGCGCCGTGCTACGACGGATACAAGAATGGAGCACGAGTACAAAAAGCCACTATTGCTGCTCGCTGGATGGCTTCTTCATTTCCGATTCCGAAGACGCACGCTCGGTCCTCTCGTAACGCACGCACAGAGAGAAAGAGAGGCGAGTCGGCCGGTGAGACGGGAGGAAATCCAAAATCGATGTGCGACGACATCGGTCAGCGGCTTAGCTTAGCTGGGGCGTAGTCGTAGCGGAACGTCGACGTTCTGTACCGTCGACAAATTCGGTCTCGCATTCTCGGAAAGTCACCGATGTAGGGATAGAACGCGATCGGGGTAGGGGGCTTTAAGGTGGAGTCAAACAGCGAAAGAGAGAGACATCGGGTGGTAAGTGGGTGGTTGGTCGGTGGGTAGAAGTGATACAAGAGAGAGAGACAGATAGACACAGAGAGAGAAAATCCCTGAAGCAACGCACATCGCGATTACACCCGCGTACGTATATACGTACACACGTTGGCTGGTACACTGGCACACGTGAGCTTACGAAGCGTATACGCATAGCAGCGGTCTCTTGAAGTCACCAGCACGGAGAAGGGTACGAGGCAGACGGGATGGGAAAGAGATGGAATCGCAGGGGCGAGAGAGTCGCGCGCGGCTATGTGTAGACCGCGGTGTTAACAAACGGTACACTAATGTTTCACATCTCCGTGTGCCCCTCACCGTATGTTCCTATCCCGCTCCTGTCCGCGTGGTCGTCTCTTTCCAGCGCCGTGTTCCTCCGTCGACGTCCTCCGTGGCGAGCAAGAGCGCGAAGTAGTAGCTCAACGAGCCGCGCACACTGCGGGGTGTCGAGAAAGGCAGCGGTTTAGTGGTAGTACGAGTAATTTCGAGTACACCCTGGAGGGGGTTCGGGGAAAACGGTGGCAGAGGCGGGGCGAGGTTAGTCCGCGCCCCCGACGGAGGGGAAAAAACCGAAGCTCCGCACCCACCGCGGTGTATTAGAGGGGAGACGAAAGAAGTGTGGAAGGGGACGATTTATCCAGGCTCTCTCTCTGTCTTCTTCTCTTTCTCCCGTTTGTCGTTCTCCTACCTCGCCACCACCGTCGGGTACCACTACCAACGGAGGATCCGTTTAAAGCGCGGCGGGGACAAGCGCGCGAGGTTCGGTGTGAGTATTCGCGAAACGGCAAAAATATCTTGGCTGCCAGGTCGTAGGTAGACGTGTATATCGGGCGATCCGCTGGCCGGCGAAAAATGTCAGTGCACCTTTTTACCCACCCCGCGTGGCACCTCGCGGCCCCCACGGCTGCCCCCACCGCGTTACGGCGAATGTCCTCCTCCGCAACCTCTGTGCCCGCGATCCGCCACCTACAGCCGCCCCTATCCGCCCCTTTGATCGGCGGTCGCGCTAGGAGGGCGACAAGTAAGCGCGAGGAGGCGAGTTCCTTTGAAAGAACTGCGCAAAGCACACTTTCACGACGCCACGGACCAAGTCGCCGTTGTAGTCCTCGCCGTATCCGTCGCTCCCCGTTGTCAACTTGTATATTGTTAGTGATCGCCGGCACGTTGCCGCGATCGGAGTGCCCACGCCACTCGGCGACTGGCTCCTGACTAACGTTCCGGGGACAATCCCATCGAGTTCGCGTTACTGTTTTTAAAAGTCGAACCCGAGGGGGTTGAGCGAAAAGGAATTGGAGTACGGCCGATCAAGAAGGGGAGAGTTCGTCGTCCCGGTTCTCGCGGAAACATCGATGACGACCGTTGACGGAACACGCGATGGGACATCGATGGATCGTAGGCGCATCAAATTGCCGGTACGCGTTCACGCCGCGTAAACGCGCTCGTGTAATACCTTCGTCAGCTGGTGATCGCACGTTTCGCTGTATAAGTGTCGAGCGAGGTGGATGTTCCAGTCGTTCGGAGCGAAGAGGAAGCCGCCAAGAGTAATCGAGAGATAGATAGAGAGATAGAGAGAGAGAAAGAGAGAGAGAGAGAAAGAGGATTGTGTGTAGTCAAGTGTCGCGTTCTGTGTGCAGCAAGGAGGAGGTTCTCGGTAGGAGGGGGTATAATAGTGAACTGGAGGATCGTCGCCGATAAAGGAGAAGTGGAGAGAAGGAGAAAGAAATAGAGAGTGGGAATATCAAACGGGCAGCGGTGGGGACACGTCAGAGTGTGTGCGGTCGTGTCCAAGAAAGAGGTGGAGAAGCGAAACAGCAACGAGAGTCGGCGGCAGAAGGGGTACGGGTGGCAGGGGGGGACGAGCAGCGAACAAACTACCGGGAAGAAGTCAGCGGGCAAGTAAAGCAGCGCCGTCGAGGCTAAACTTTGGGATCTATCGAACTAAAATTGTCGTGTAGTTTCTGCCTCCTCTTCTCGCCCCACCTCTATATCAACCAACCACCCCCTTGACCCCACCAGAAACCCGACACACACGGTGGCAACGGCAGCATCTCGGCCGGTTGCGCCCCCTTTGGGTGCTCGAGCACCCATCCCCTCCACAAAACGAAAGCCGAACGAAGAGGGAAGAAACGCGGCGACGGTGGGGTCGTCACGAGGGACGAGGAGCTTTCGAACGAGTGAGAAGAATAGAACGAGGACGGCGCCGCGAAAGAGTGAGACGGTGAAACAGAAAGAGGAAAAGGAGAGAAAGAGAGGGGAGAGAGAGAGAAAGAGAAAGAGAGCGGAGGTTTTCGAGCGAGAGGGGATAGGCAGGGAACGCGTTAGCTGGCTCCACGGGCGACTCACCATATTTTATTGTCGCGTTTGCCGACGCTAACCGCCGGGTGTACGGACTCCGTTCCCCGATCCCTACGAAGATGCCGTTCTGACTCGGTAGAAGAGACCTACACGGAACACACTCGGCCTACTACCGGAGTGCGCTACGAAACGAATTTCGCGCGGGTTACGAGGTGCCGGCAGTGGCATCATCGGAAAGCCACCGGAGCAGAGGTGGCACCAATCCACCCCCACTACGGAGCGGCGGCGTGCCGGCCTGGACCCTCCCACCCGTCTCGCCGAGGGCAAACCATCTCGCAAAAATCGTCCCCCTTTCCATGGAAGGAAAAGAACTACGGCGACGACTCTGCCACCACCACCACCACCATTGTCGAGCCGACCGTTTCTCGTCACTACCACCACCACCATCGGCACACTACCATCGTTATCGCCAGCGCCACCGTCACTATACCCGCGCCTCCTCCTACACACCGCGATCAACCGTCATCTCGCGGAACAGGGATACCAGAAACTTACAGATTTGGTTCGCGTTGTCCCGTCCCTCGTCGAGTCGTGCTACTTACCACCGTTCGCCGTCGGAGTCACCGGCTCCGATTCGCTACTCCCGGCTAACTCAAAAACGAACCCGAAACGGATGTTAGTGACGATTCGGAGAAAGTGCGCGTTGTGGATCGGACGATCGAGAATACGTACTTACTCATTCAGTGCGCGTTTAAATCGCCGCCCAGTAGTACGACCAAAGGAAGTTTCCGGCGCGTACGAAAGGTAGAGAGGGAACAGTCGTGGACACGCGCCCTCCTTTCTGCCGTGTACCCCCTCTAAAACACGAGTGACAACGTTCGCGTACATGTGAACGCACACGCGGCCAGTTCACGCAGGGGACGAAGACAGAAGTGCCGAGGCGTTGGGCTGTACACGTGTGAGCCACGCCAGTTTGTAGTTACTTGTTTCGGAGTGCGCGCACACGGTTTACGCGTCACCGTTCAACCCCGTGTGTCGAGAAACTCGCGTCGGACCACTGCGCTCCGGATTTACGAAGAAAGAAAGGAAAAAAAAGAAAAGGAAACGAGTTTCGTCGCGATCGCACGGGGTGCGAAGAGGTGATCCCAAGCAGCGTGGAAGGATTCTCCGTGGAGCGAGAAAGAAAGGGAATAAGATAAGGAAGAAAAAGAGTGCGCGCGAACAAGTCGATCCCTCGCCTTTCCTTTTTCACGAACGTCTCTCCGTCACCATCGCTCGAGTTCTCGACCTACCACTTTCTCCCTCTCTATCACTCTGTTTCGCCTTTCGTCCGTCCCTCTATAGCTCGTTTCCTCTCGCTCGCTCCTCCCTCCTCTATTCCGTCTCGCTTTCTCGTATCGCTCTCTCTCTTTCTGTCCCTCGCTGCCCGTGTCGCGTTCTCCTCCTCGCGCTCGCACTTATGCACCTCCGCCTTCCTATCCGCCGCGCGGAGGACTGGATTCCGTCGAAAAGAAACGACGATTCGGAGGATAGTCGCGACCGATCATAGCTGGCGCGTCGATCGGATCTACGGCCGTGAGTTAGCCACGGCACGGCACGTACGGGACCGGATCGAATCGGATCGTAGCATCAATCGCAGCGCGCATTACAATCGACGCGTGTTTTACTCCGATCGCTCCGTAATTAGGTGTTACGGTTCGCCGACTGTACGTAGTGCCACGTCATTGTCGTATTTCACCACCTGGACAAAACCATTTCCAATCACGTATACGCGGCGCACGAGTACTGAACGATGTGAACAGTTGACTCACGGTTTGTCATCGACGTGTGTTAGTCGTGAACGAGTTCCTAAAGTCGACACAGTGTCATCCACCACGTCGACACACTGCGTTTTGCGGTTGGATATCGGCAAACTGGTCCCTGTCCGTTGTCTCTTTGTGTCCGCGAGTCTGTGACAGTGCCAGTGTATCGCGACCTGGAAGACACCGACTTCAGGGTTGACTACAACCGCGTTACATACGCGGTGCACTAAAACGCGCGTGCTTGTTACAACGCGAGCTTAATCAGTGAAAAATCTCTGCGCTCGCTACTCCACCGGTTCCCCTCGCATTTATCAGTCTCCGCCTCGTGTTACGTGGTGAAACTAGAATCGAACGTGAACAGATAGATACGGGAGAGGAAGAGGATCGGCGAAAGTGGTGATAATTTCGTTCGGATATTTAGTGGGATCGCGACAGATGCCACGGCCTGGAAGGATGATCGCGTAGCGGTGACCGACCATCACGGCCCTAAGTGGCCGACACATCATGTCACAGTTCTCTTTTCGAGGATCACCAAATCTACAGGTGAGTCCTCGTTATTTTAACACGCTACCACCACTGTCCGGTCCCGTGTAGTGTCATGCGTGCGTACACGCATGCACCGGTGCTCGCGATTCGAAATCTATCGCGGCTAGTTTCGCGACTCGTTCGAACGACACGATTACCATTCGTGATGAATGTACGCCCATCCACCCCTCGAACCGGTGTCTTCCGATGACATCGATCAGCGTGCCGTGTGACCGAAATCAATCGTCTGGTTTGTGAACTTTGTTACACGCGTTGATATTGATACGTACTGATGGTTCTCGGGCTACTCGATTCTACGCCTGTGTCCGAAAACATAACCGAGGCGATATTCAAAAGACAAACAATAATCGCCCGTTTATCGTCTGGGTTGTGTCGAAAAGTACATCGAACGACATATTCCCCGTATCTACGATACCACGAGTTAATCGTTGAAAAAACATCAAACGGCTAAATATTTATAAACTCTCATCGAATATCAAAGTAGTCGTTAACATGGACTCAACTGTTGAAACTCCAGCCTGGTTTATCTCGCACATTTCTCTTACGTGTGAAATTTATTGATTTAAAGTGTAAATGAACGTCAGGCACGTTCGATCGTCTTAGCGTAATAATCAGAAAAACAAAATTCGGTATCGCGTCGAGCGCAATATTTGACGCAAGAAGAATTGATGGAAACGTGGCTGAGCGTCCGCGATCGTCGTCACCGTTCGCTCTGGATATAATTCCGACCGTATGCAAGTCAAATGTATTCAACGATCAAGAACCTTACCTATTTGTGTTTACCTCCCGCAGCTAACCGGCGAATGAATCGTTTATATTTGTACCGTTTGATTATTCACCGAAAACGGTTATCGTCTCCGTCATTCGCGAATGCATTAACTTTGAAATCGCTTTCATCGCGTTCTTACTAGTTACGATCCCGTGTCTGATTTCATTTTAAGAAATGATATTACACGCAGAGCGCTTTGTATATTCTTGCTCCTTCCCGGTGATTAACGACATATTATTACTGACTTCGACATGCACTCATTTGGTGTAACTGTCAACCGTGTAAATGGAAAGGGTTGTACGAAATTGCATCTGTAACATGGTGTTCCAATTTGCACGCCGCGAGTACAAGTATTTCATATTCAGTAAAGTTTAATCGAGTCCATCTAAATTGACTGTTTCAAGCGATCGTACTTAAAGATCACGATTCGTAAGTACTCATTTGAGATGGAAAATCGCGTAACGCGTAGATCGCTTTGAGATTAAAGACGGCGTTGTAGCGATAGGGAAACATGTACGGTCTTCTTATCACGCCTGCATGCAATTTTTTTTTATTGCATCAGCCGGTGTCATTATGGGTAAAATGTTTAAGTGGTAGCGCGTGCGAAGATTGAAACGAACCGGAAGCCGAACTCTGTTGTCGTAGCACACCGATTCATTTCGGCCCCGTGTCCGCAGCGGGTAATTTGTAGCGTGGGATCTTGTTCGCAGCGAGAATGGATAGCCGTTGGCAAGCCTGAGAGATTCGGTACCACGTGTCCTGACATGTTGCATATAGGTGTACGCTTGCATACCTATGCGCTGTGCTGTGCATAGCGCCGAGCTGAGAACATGTGTTGCCACGCCTAAAGCAACGCTCCGAAATGATCGAAGAGCTTGCGGCAGTCCCGCTAGAATAATCATCTCGTCTTACCATCGACTGTAGCTTTTTGCTCCCCGTGTTCTTACTGACGCCTATTCGGAAAGGCGACAGCAATTCCATGATACGGTTTTATAAAAAAAAAAAAGGAGAGCATCGATGCAAGGAATATGAATTTAGGAAGAACATTTATTACTAAGCTTTTAACGAGATATTTGATGTATTAGATTCTCTATAACTTGAAGCGAAAATGCATAAAATAATGGAACGTTATTATCGATAAGTGTAAACATTTATAGACCATTTATAGACCATTTATTTAAAAATTATACATTGTAAGAAATTGAAATCGGTCAGAAGATACAAGTTATTTTTGTGTTATGAATAATCGACTACAATTACGCGGTGGATAATAGAGTAGACAAAGTGCGGAACGGAACGAAAGGTGAAGAAAATGGAATCATTTACGTAGCGTATTGTTCGAGTGCCGATAAAAATTAATGGCCTATTATCTACAAGTATTACTCTAGTTATAACAGAGTTAAATAGTTACGGCTGTCTTTTTATCGTTTGACACACTTTTCTTTTGAATTTCCCATTGTCTGCCTGCTCGGTTGTCAACTTTACGCGTTAATTATCGCGCGACATCATTTGTTACACGTTGCGCAGCGTGTGCTACAATATTCAGTATCTATCGTAATCACGGGATTCAATTTTCGAGGGAGCCTCGAATCGTCGCTCTCTCGAAGCGACGCTCTTTATCATAATTATGTCACACGGTCCAGCTAAGAGCCAACGATAAGCCTGTACACTTTGTCCCATCCGTTTAGTTTCGTCGTTGCGTCTCTTTTCTCCACTTGTGCCTATCTTTCCACGCCGCGCGCGTAGGGATGTTGTCGGCGTTGTTGAACAATAAGTTGTTAATTGCCATTCGATTCTCTTATTGCGGCGAGCGCGCGACGAAGTCACGCCTCGGTTGGCATTTGTGCTGCCCCGATGCGATGATGTAACAAGTCGTTGCGCTCGGCGCAAGAAACGGACGGCCATAAATACGTACGACACGCAAACCGTGTAAACTTATCATTAATAACAGTAAAGCTTGGCTCAGGTGTGTGTTCAACATCGGCTCTCGCTTGTGCGTTCGCCTTCTTGATTTTCGCTTCAGGGGCGACAGAACTCTTATTTCTCTATCGCTGCTTGAATTCAAGCATTTCTGCATCTTCAAATTTCACTGTGATTCTTCCCCGGGAAGAAATCACGTTTCCCGTGTCTTGTTTACATCGCGAATATCGGAATCCATCTACACGGCAGTGACTTTAATTTTGGCTCGGAGAATACTTTCTACTCCGTGTATCTCAGGAAAAACGAATACTACAACGCGGCGGCGACAGGCGTTGAATTAAATTTAGAACGCGGAGAAATTCATATCGCTAATCTGCGTCACTCAGTTTAATTGAAGTAACGATCTCCTCTTTCCTTCCTCACTTTTCGTCGACTTCGTATCCCTCTTCTCCTAATCCGTCGCGTATTTTTGGAGTACCACCGCGAGCTGAAAGAAACTAGTGGACAATACATCCGTAAATGATTGTAAATTATTTAATTTTGTGTATGAACTTGAAGAATACTTTTCTCGCAGAGCTTGTAACGTTTTACGAATCGCACTTATATCAGATTCTCATTGCAAATGCAAGATTGAGCGCCGATTAGCGCCAGGTAATTGCATTTTGGCGTGGCTAATCAGTATTTTAAACCGAATCGTGGTATTGGCGAAATTGCGTGGCCTGCGTAATCCAAAATGTGTATGATATACCGGCACGTGAGAGGAGGGGAGGGAAGGAAAATTTGACCGCGCTACCATCGGAATGCGTGTCCGCTCGCGTCGCGGCAGGCGCGAGGGCACGAGAAGAGCAGACCGAGAATTCCTGAATGACGCTTGGTCGCGTAAAAATTATGAATGGCCATATTATTGCAAGTTGGCAGGCGCGCGATGCGCCGCGGCACGATACGTTGCCATATAGATACGATCTCCGGTAGTAGTTTGCGCCCAGCAGTTAGCGCTGTTTCGCTCGCTGACTCGGCGCTACTCGATCCAATCGGGGCTGACTCAGATCCTCCGCCCTCACTCTCTTGCACCGTTCTCCCGACCTCTCTCTCTCTCTCTCTCTCTCTTTCTCTCTCTCTCTCTCTCTCTCTCCTCTCCTTTTCGTGTTGCTCTCTCGCCTCTTTTCTCCGTTCCCTGTACACTGCGGCTGGTCGGATTCATTCACTCTCGCACGATCGCGTTCCGTTCTTACCTACTCCTCCTCTCACCATTCTTTCTACCCCCGTCTCTTGTTCCTTCCGATCGTTTCCTTCTTCCTCTCTCTCTCTCTCCCTCGCTCTCCGCTTCGATTCATTCACTCGAGTTTCATGCTCCGATTCTCGCACGTTTCTTCCATATTTTTTTTTCAGCTACCGTCTTCAACCCCTTTCTCTCCTCTGTTTCTCTTTTTCACCGTTCTTGTTAGACCCACCTTTTGTTCCGGCTTCTCCCTCTTTGTCCCCGGCCGTTTCTTTCTTCGAATTCATTCAGTTTCGCTACTATCTTTCCAACGAACTGTTCCCTCTGCTTCTCCCTCGTCCCGGGTCTCCTAAGACCGGACACGCACAGAGTTCAACGCGTGCAAGAACCACATGCGTGGTTGTTGCGACAAGAACAATGTTGCATGATCACTGTGTTACGAGGCTTCCGGTACTCCGATTACGCTTGGACATAGTCCTGGTCCGATAAATCGGCTAGTATTTATCGTTCGCGATTAGCTCTCTTTTCAATTCACTTAATGTGGTCGCAGCTAAAATCGACAGATAAGGGATTAACAAGTAAACGTCTCCCGGTTACGATTAACGTTATTCAATATGTTTCCTGTAATTTTATTCTATATTTTATTATCGATACTTTCATCGGAATTAGATAATTGCTGAATAATCGCACTGATTAGTTCACTGACTCCCTTTGTATACTTTCATAAATCTAACATTCTAGGTGATTTCCAAATCAGGAATATTCACTCTAATCTCTCGACTGAGGGAAGGGACCGTGTGTTCGACTTTGTCTATTTAATCTAGGAAAATATTTTCATTGCACAAAGATTAGCTCGGCTTACGAAGTTCAACCGTGAATGATAGAGTCTTGACAGCTTAACGAGTCTAACCCGGATACGGAAAACGAGAGCCCTCTCAGCCGTAACAGTTCATCAATAGTAAAGCTAAACTCGTACTTCACTCAATATCGACGTTATCTATAGAAAAACAAGAAATCCTTTATCAACACATTTCAAGTAATTCGACGTGAAAGAATTTATCTAAAATTAGTCTGAAATTATTTCATCAA